ATTTGATTCATTGATTGATTGAATGATGGGTCGGTGGGTGGATTACCATAATTGATCGATTGACTCATGAATTGATCTATGGTTGGATAGTCACAATCAATTTGATTGATTGATGGGTAGATTACCACTAATTGTCGTCTCCTATATTGATTGATTGACGGGTTGATTACCATAAGTGCTAGTTTGATGGGCTGCTTCCCAATCATTGCCATAATCGATCCATTGCTTGGTGGGTTGCTTACCATAATCAACTGATTGATTGGTGGGTTTCTCACCATAAATCGATTGATTGATTGCTGGGTTGGTTACCATAAATCGACTGACTGATCGACCTGTCCATTATGGTAATCGATCTACTCATTGGCTCATTGCAACTGATTGCCATACACGATTGATTGGCGGGTTGATTACCATGATCTACTGGTAACTTGTTTGGTTGATTGTCATTGATTGCCATATTCTATTGACTACCATGATCTACTGCTTCATTGATTGGTTGGTTACCATTCATTGCCATTGATTCATTCATTTATTCATTCATTTTTTCATTCATTCATTCATTCATTCATTCATTCATTCATCAATTGATTCATTCATTGATTAATTGATCGATTGATTGACCTTAATCAACTTGATTGATTACCATGATCTATTGGTTCATTGATTGGTTGATTGCCATGATTGCCATTGATTGATTGATTGTTTCATTCATTCATGAATTGATTAATTGATTGATTGCTTGACCTTAATTAACTTGATTGATTGATTGACCTTATTAACTTGATTGATTGATTGACCTTAATCATTGATTGATTGACCTTAATTAACTTGATTGATTGATTGACCTTAATCAACTTGATTGATTGATTGACCTTAATCAACTTAATTGATTGGTTGTCATAGGCTGTCATTATCAATTGAGTGATCGATTGATTGATTGATTCATTCATTCATTACCTTAATCAATTTGATTGATTGATTGTCAGAATCAATTGACTGATTGTTCGATTGATTAATTGATTGATTGAGTGATTGATTATCTTAACCTATTGGTCGATGGGTTGATTGCCAGTTGATCTGGCTAACTGTAAGGCTATGAGAGAAAGGCAGCAGTCCACTGCCCAGGATGGATGACGACTGAATAAACGGATGTGTGTGGCATCCGTCTGTCGAGCGCCATCCTTTCCTTTCCCCCTATTCAGAGGCGTCTGCTATTGGATTGCCATCATAACCCATTGATTGATGTTTTTTTTTTTTTTTAATTACCATGATCTATCTATAATTAGACCGATTCATTGATTGCAACTAATTGCTATAATTGACTGACTAATTGATGGATTGATTGATTGATTGATTGACAAACTTATTTGCAGTTGATCTGGGTAACTAACTGCAAGGCTATGAGAGAGAGTAAGACAGCAGGGCACACACACAACCACAAAAAAACAAAAAACACAAAAAACAGCAAGGCCAACCATGGATGACAAGTGAATGGATGAATTTGTAGACCCATGGACGACTGCCACGTGGCATCTAGCCAGTCTGTCCCCATATTCACTTCAGAGCTGTCCTTTTTTTTTTTTTTTTTTTTTTTTTGCCGGCTGTTTTTAACCCAATCAAGCGGGGTTGGATTCTCTTCCCACTCTTTTTTTTTATTTCCTCCTTTAAGATTCCAAAAAAAAAAGAAAAAAAGAAAAGGAGTTCGACGTTCCTGGGCGCAATTTTGGCTTTTTCTGAGCCCAGATCGTCAGGGCTTACGGGCCCAGGTTCCGTATTTAACCTCCTCCCCTCCACCCCCCCCCCCCAATTTAACTTTGGGCGCAAATTTTTTTTTTTTTTTTTTTTTTTTTTTGGGAAAGAGTATCATTTCATTTCGAATAATAGGAAGGAGGCTGGGGACCTCACAATTCAACCCGCAAAGGATAGAACCCGCTGGAAATCGGGTCCAGCATCCCTTACCTACTTCCCAACCATACCATTTATCCCGCAAAGGATTTCGGTTCAAATGTCTAGAAATTTGTAATTAGCGGATGAAAAACTCCGCACTTCAAAAAAAAAAAAAGAATTTGCTTATAGGTACCAAAAGGAAGGAAGCTGGGCGCAATTTCGGCGTTTCCTGAACCGAAATCCTTCGTAGGGTCCTACTGGCTTCTGGAACCGGGGCCAAGTCGCACTAGCATCGTTGAGTTTCCTCAACGTCTGAATGTGGACGTGTTTGTGGAGATGTGCGGTTGAGAAAACTCAACGCGATATCTGCACATCACCACAAACACGTCCAGATTCGGGCGTTGAGGAAACGTAGTGAGACCTTGCCCCCGGTAAGCCCTCTCGATTTCGGTTGAGGCCAAGTCGCACTAGCATCGTTGAGTTTCCTGAACGCGGACGTGTTTGTGGAGATGTGCGGTTGAGAAAACTGAACGCGATATCTGCACATCACCACAAACACGTCCAGATTCAGGCGTTGAGGAAAATTAGCGATGCTACGTAGTGAGACCTTGCCCCCCGTAAGCCCTCTCTATTTCGGTTGGGGCCAAGTCCCACTACCGGTAGCATCGTTGAGTTTCCTCATCCCCTGAATCTGGACGTGTTTGTGGAGATGTGCGGTCGAGGATACTCAACGGGATTTCTGCACCTCTCCACAAACACGTCCAGATTCGGGCGTTGAGGAAACTTAACCATGCTCCCTAGTGAGACCTTGCTGAGGAAACTCAACGCGATTTCTGCACCTGTCCACAAACACGTCCAGATTCAGGCGTTGAGGATACTTATCGATGCTAGTGAGACCTTGCCCCCCCCGTAAGCCCTGACAATTTCGATTCACGAAACGCTGAAATTGCGCCCCGGAACGTCAACGTTAAACCCCCAAAGGGCTAAGTTTCTTCTTTTAAAAAAAAAAAAAAAAAAAAAAAAAAAAATAGGGCGACGGCCTTGAGATACGACCATCAAACTGATCAGCCCCAAGTTTTTCAACCGTAATTCAAAGTTCCTTTTTTTTCTTTTTTTTCTTTTTTTCTTTTTTTCTTTTTTTTCTT